GTGATGGTGCTTCTTTTAGCCCAGAACCTCATGACATGTTGAATTGTTCTCCTCTTTTATCCCTTTCCAGTTGTTCTCCATAGTAGTTCCCTCTCCATTGAGTAGATCATGAAATGCCTGGAACTTATTGCTGAGGACTATCTTGAATCTATTGAGTTTGTCAGTATTCCGAAGAAAAGCTGTATTAAACTTTTGTGATGTTGTCCTCCCCATTGTCCAGTGCTTCTTAAGTTTCAATTTCATCTTGGCGACCAGCAAGTGATGATCTGATGCTATATCAGATCCTCTCTTGGTTCTCACATCCTCCATTGTCCTCCTGAACTTTTTGTTGATGCAGATATGGTAGATTTGGTTCTGCGTAGTGTGATTCGGTGAAGTCCATGTGGTTTTGTATATGCATTTGTGTGGGAATATAGTGCCGCCTATGACCAGTTTATTGAAGACACAGAGGTTTGCAAATCTCTCACCATTTTCGTTCTTTCTCCCATTCCATGTCGTTCCATGACGTCTTCATATCCGGTGTTGTCAATTCCAACCTTGGCATTTGAATCTCCCATCAGAATGGTGGGGTCCTTTGTTGGGCACTTCTCGACGATTGACTGCAGCCTATCGTAGAATTGATCTTTAGCATCTTCATTGTAGTCATTGGTAGGCGCGTAGCATTGGATGACGTTCATTGTAATCCCCGTTTTCTTTGTTTTGAAGGAGGCTTTGATGATCCTTGGTCCATGAGATTCCCATCCTATAAGTTCATTTTGTGCTTGTTTGGACAGCATCAATGCAACTCTTTGTGTATGTGGAGCATTTTCTTGTTCATGTCCGAAGTATAACAGAAGCTCGCCTGAAGCTAGTCGTTGTTGTCTAACTTGTGTCCAATGTGCTTCACTGATCCCAAGCACCTCTAAATTGTATCTCCTCATTTCTGCAGCAATTCGGAAAACTCTCCCAGTCTCCCACATTGTGCGAGCATTCCATGTACCTAAATAAATGTTTGCTCCGGTTGTCAGAAGGGGCATCGGCCTCGTGACGTCCGAAGAAACTCGGCTTTCATCATGAAGCTTCATAATTCTTCTAAACGAAGACCTCCTGACTCCCAGGGCAGAGTTTGAATGGTTTGAATAGTTTTTTCTGGTTAGCGTTTTTTTAGCGAGTTAGTTTTCTACGGGATGGGGTCGCTAACCCCATGCCCAACCCTCCTCCTTTATCCGGGCTTGGGACCGGCAGTAGCCCCCGGAAAGGGACTCCAGGCGGAGTTAGAAATTAATCATAGTGAGAAATATTATTGGACTACACATTTATTTGGTTCACAAGTATTATTCCAACGATGTTTTTAACCCAGCTTAATAAATTAAATGAACCTTTTGAAAAGGATATTTTGCATGACTTTTTATTGTGCGATATTGCCACTCTCTTAGAAAACCTATCAAAGGACTTGACCCATACTTTTAGCCTAAGAAGCAAGTTATTCCGTTAAATATTTAAAGTAAGTTATTGGGTCACTTAATAAAGATAAAGAGAATTCAGAGAAGAAAATGTCCTTTGTAGCATCAATGTGCAAATATAAATTTACTGTTTATTGTGGAGCAGGTTATATTGGTCACACAAGGCAGACACTTTCTAAAAGCGTCTCAGAACATTATCCAGCGTGGTTTTCGAAAGGAGGATGCAAAACCTCACTAGCTGATGAGCCTTGGGCACATTGTTCCGAATAAGTCGTGCTTTAAAGTAATCTATACAGTAAAAAGAATTAGAGCAAAAGATGGATCCAATTAAAAATCTGTCCACTGCTAAGGCGTCGCATCCCATCACTTCATGACTGAGCTCTGTGTCCGATCTCTCATTCTTCCACAGCCTCACTTTCCTTCTCCAACATATTTTGGTGTTATTCTTATTTTCGATCATTATTTTGTACGCTTTTAAACCGTAATCGTTCATTATTATCCTCTAACAATTTTCCACGATTATTATTCAATTATTATTGTGGCTTAGACGTTATTCATTTTCCTTCATATACGACAATTCGATGTCTCAGATGTAGTCAAGTCAGTCATAATGGAAAAAATCACAACAATTAATTCTCTGATAGGAATTATCCCAACATATCTACAATTAAGTAACTAAATAAACGAAAAAATGGCCATAATTAATAGCCACAATACACTTAGATGACCTGAAAATACAGAGCTTATCCCCAGCCTTTTCCTTCTTACCCGTAAATTATTTTTATCTTCCCATTCTTTTCAAGCCCTTGGTAGTCGTGCAACCTTCTTTTTATATTTGAAATCTCGGATCATTTCATGATGTAATCTCTTCTACACTTCAAGGGACTCATATAATTATCAAACAACTACAAATACAAATGCACAGCTTAGGTAAGTTATTTCGTCAAAGAGAATACTTTTTCGCTGAATTCACTTTATTTTTAATTAATAGTTATTTAAAAATAAATGAATTTGTAATCGCCGAATAAAATTCATGCTAAAGTGAGCTGAAGCGAAAATTTTGTATTTAAATACTGTAGTATTAAGTAAATTAAAATTGATAGTATGTTTTAGCAACACGATAAAGTTTTAAACAGTACCATATATAAGAATAATCCAAGTGAATGTACCTCAATTAACGAATTGGTGTCTTTACTGAGACTTATTGTGACATGTATATTCAGTGATTTTTGTAACGACAAAATAAAAACCATTTTTTCTTTAATTTGTCACACTTTTTATGCAACCACATTTATATTCAATATATATTGTTTCTCTGTATCAACGGTAAAAACGGATATAATGGTTTGGATACACGTATACATATATTTACTACCGCAATTTTTGAAATTTAAACACTATCTCCACCGTCTATTCTTCTGCTTTATTGGACACGGCCTTTAAATGAAAATTGTATTAGTGTTATGACGTTCTTTTAAGCACACACTACGTTAGCTTTTTGGCCCGGATCATTATTAAATAATACTACTAGATTTAATCTTTCTCATTACGCCGTTGATGCCGCCACGTGTAGAGGAATCTTCGTTAATCAAGTGAACTCAAACATAAAAGTAACAGCAAACATGTTGCAAGTTCTATTCAGGAAGATACGGGACGAAGATAAAGTGACGACAGAGTGGAAAGGAGGATACCTTATGAAGATGCCGAGGAAAAGAAATCTGAGCAGGTGTGAGAAATATAGAGACATCACACTACCTTATGTATCAAGAAAAGTTTTCAACACTGTTGTTGAACCAGATGAAAGATTCGGAAGACACTAGGCTCCAAAATCAGCAGGCTGGATTCCATAAGCTCGGTCGTCTGCAGATCAATGTGCGACACTACGAATCATTGTTAAGCAACCGTCTGGATGAGACTTACCACTATACATAAAAATTCCGCGACTATGAAAAAACATTTGCAGCGTGGGTTGTATAATCTTGTGAAACATTCTTCTACAATATAATGTGCTCCAGTAGATCGTCAACATCATTGTAAATTCATACGACGAACTAAACTGCAAAGTGGTGCATGCAGAACAACTGGAATCTGACACGGCTGTTTACTCTCTTCTTTTCTTTATCTTCTGCTTATTGACTGGATCATGAAGACCTCCACACTTCAGGAGAAGCACGGATTACAACTGACGGCTCGCAATAAACGTGGCGATTTGCACTTCACAGTCGTCCTGGCTGTTCCGTCTCATACATACCGACAAATGCAGATGAAGACAGCCAGTGTAGCATCAGCCTGTGCATCACTAGGCCTCAAGATACAGAATGGAATAGTCACGATCTTCAGATACAAAATGCAGTCCATCAACCCAATCTCTATTCTCGTTTTTTCCCTTCAGTCCATGTCGTCCCGTGATATTTTCATACTCGCTTTTGTCCATCCTGACCTTGGCGTTTAGTTCTCCCTTCAGGATTGTCAGGTCCTTTCCTGGGCACTTATCTACGATCGATTGCAGTCGCGATCCTCCGATACAACTCAGAGAACATCAATGCAATCACACTTCATGGAGAAACTTTGTGTGAGGTGGAAACTTTCACGTATCTCGGTAGCACCATCGACTAACAAGGAGGATCTGATGCAGACGTGAAGGCGAGGATTGGCAAAGCAAGGACTGCATTCCCACAGTTGAACAACATATGGAATTCAAAACAATGGTCAACCAATATCAAAGTCAGAATCTTCAATACGAACGTCAAGACACTTCTACTGTACGGAGATGAAACTTGCAGAACTACCAAAACCATAATCAAAGAGATGCAAGTATTCATAAACGATTGTATACGTAAGATACTGAATGTCCGTTGGTCGGATACCATCGGCAACAGCCTACTACGGGAGAGAACGAACCAGCTTCCAGCTGAGGAGGAAACTAGGAAAAGACGCTGGAAGTGGATAGGACACACATCGAAGAAATCATCAAGCCGTATCAGGAGGCAGGCGCTAACTGTAGATCCTGAAAGGAAACAGAATGGAGGAAGACCAGGGAACGTATTGCGTCGGGATTAAAAGAAGACATGAAAAGGATGGATAGAAACTGGAAAGAACGGGAAAAGATTGAGCTGGACGGAGTTGGATGGAGAATGCTGGTGTGCGACATATGCTCGTCCACAAGGGGTGGGAGATGTTTGTATAGAGGTAAGCAAAATTCAAGTATTACAAACTTTCTCTTCCTATCAATTTGTAAGATAAATGGATATTTCAGGCTAAAAGCTCTGTGATTAAAAATATGTACCAAAACAAGTTTGCCAACTTATTATGTAGGAATATACTGATTTAAATAATACCATCCATAAAACTAGCCGTCATTAAACGAAAATTCCCTTACCAGAGCAGGAATATAGATGGGTATGCAATGATGTTGTACATAGCTTACATTTCTCTTCAGTATTACCGAACACTGATCTGTTTTAGTCTTAAGAGAGAAGTTCACCAGAATGTTGTTAATTCCTATAATATGTATTTCTGTAAAGATGCTGTTTCGTTCTCAAAGTATTTACTAACTTGTTTTTTCTGATGTCCGCCGAATTATTCAATCTAAGAAAGAATGCTTTGATGAGACCTTAGTTCAAGTATTATCTTCATCCTTATCCAACATTTACACATTTTCAACCTGTAGCAGATCTTAAGGAACTGTTTGCTTGCTAATAACTGTCAGACAAGGTAGTCAAAGCCATTGGATTATTGAACAATCTGATGTTTATTCAGAGCGGCTCATATCTTTATAAAGGTATTTGGCGAGTTGGACTATTAGATCTTGATTTTGCCCCATTGTTGTCATAATCTGAGGTTGTGTTATTGCTGATTGTTGACTATTGCTTTCCTCAGTAAATTTAACTGCATTGTGTGCTCTAGCTGCGTCGTCGGCTTCCTTTTTGTTTTTTTCATCATTCCTCAGGCTAAACTGCATGCTTCCCTAGTTCTCAATAATACCTGGCTAGACGCGATTCGCTACAAGATCAATGGGGATACTTGATAAAATCGCTGATATTGAGAATGAAATCGCAAGGACGCAGAAAAATAAAGGTTCTTATTGCCTTATGTTGTATTAACATTCTTAAAAAGCGACGGAGTATCATCTCGGTTTATTGAAAGCTAAGCTCGCCAAGTACCGTTCTCAACTACTGGAGACACAAAATAAAGCTACTAAAGTATGTTCATTCATAGGGCTTACTCTGTAAGGGTGAAGGATTTGATGTTATGAAATCGGGCGACGCTCGGGTATCACTAATTGGCTTTCCGTCCGTCGGAAAGGTTTGGTATTTTTATATTCAGTTGCTCATTTCCTTGTTCTTCTAGTCCACGCTCCTAAATTCTTTAACTTCTACACACAGTGAATGTGCATCATATGAGTTCACGACTTTGACATGTATACCGGGTGTAATTGAGGTATCTCACATGATTAATAGTACATCATTTTCAAGTATAAAGGCGCTAATATCCAGTTATTGGATCTTCCAGGGATAATAGAAGGGGCATCACAAGGTCAGTTACGTATATGTTTCGTTTTTTGGCTGTTTACACGGGTCTCAATTTCCTTAATCTTCATGTCGTGTATCTGGTGATATGTTTTTGTATTCATAGTTGTTACCACTAGCTATGGAAGGTCGTCACCTGAACTTCTCTTATCTGTATGTCTCTTATTTCAGGAAAAGGGCGGGGGCGCCAGGTGATTGCTGTTGCCCGAACGGCTGACCTCGTACTTATGATGCTTGATGCCACCAAGCCGGATGTCCACCGGTAAGTTTTTCAAGAGTTAGTCAAATAATTAAAGATTACAGTCATAGTAGAATTATAAGGATAGGTTTTAGCATCAGAGGACTAGCAAAACGCTTAACCTTCTGCCTAACATTTATGAGATCCTTAACCAAAGTACTCGTCGTTTCTTCATCATGCCTGTCTATAACCACGAACTCCACAAGTAAGCACCACATATCTGTGTAGTTTCCCACAGCTTTTAGTGGATATTTTCTTAATTTCCTAATGCAAATCGGGAGAGGATGTTGTTCAGCACAAAAAGTCTCTCTGAATTTTCATTTTAACCACTCGGCTGAAACTGTTGTTTTTCAAGTAGAAACCCATCGCCTTTAAACTCACTAGTTGCCGTTTCAAACAGGTTGGTGGTATAAGCCAACCGCAAGTTATCAATTTACACTTAGTTTTTTCAGAACTCATCTCATGTGTTCACTAAAGGGGTTTTTTTCTAAATTCAATTTCAGAAAGTTACTTGAAAATGAACTAGAAGCTGTGGGTATTCGATTAAATAAAAACAAACCAAATATTTATTTCAAGGTAATTTTAAATTTGATCACTGTTCTAAGCACTTTAATTTTCACAGTCTGCCATAAAAAATACTTGACGATGAAATCACACAATTGAGTTATGCCTCGTCTCCCGAGACAGCTGGGTGATTTCGTTTGTCAGTGACTTGGATTCTACCAAGCATTCACGTACAAATCCGTAAAGTATCTTAATAGAGCCAGCGATGTTACATTGCTCTGAATTCGGAAACCAAAACAGGACTCGAATACTAACACAGCTTCATGTTTATTGACAAGCTCTGATATAAAGTCTGGCCACTTTCTTTGTATTAATAAACCATCTTAATTCCCAGTCTATCTAGACGATAGTTGCGGTAAGAGTTGTCAAATATTAGCTTTAACATCCAAATAGGCGAAGAACACGATTAAATAAATCACTTTTTCAACATTGGTGATAGCTAATGGTCGTATAGGATAGAACTTGCAACATGTTTGCTGTTACTTCTGTGTTTAACTTTAGTGTTTCGGCTGGTATATTGTCAGGTCCTGCTGCCTTCTTATTCTTGACTTGTCTGATGGTCGTGGAGATTTCTTTGATCGTTGGTGGAGTGACACCTATAAGAATGTCTGTGTGGGCTGCTTCAATATCCTATGGATTCAATGGATCTGGTCTATTGAAGAGTTCCTCAAATTGTTCCACCCGTCTGTTCCTCTGTTCTTAAATCTCAGTGATTGGCTTGCCTTCTTTGTCCTTGATTGGTCACTCTGGTTTACAATATTTCCTTGCTAGTTCTTTTGTGTCATATGGTTGTCTCACATCTTCTCTTTCAGCTCTTTCCTCTGTCGTTGCTAGGTCTTCCACATGTTTGTACTTGCCAGCCCTAATGCTTCTCTTCACTTGTTTGTTTGCTTCTGTGTATTCAGCTTGTGCCTTGACTTTCTCTGTTCTTGTTCGGCTGACGTTGTTTGTTGTCTTGTCGTTCTTTTCTTAAATGCTACTCAGAGATTCGATGGAGATCCATTCCTTGTAATGATGCTTCCTGTGGCCCTGAACCTCTTAACACATCGAAATTATTGTTTCTTTAATCCCTTTCCAGTCGTCCTTCATAGTAGTTTCTTTTTCTTTGAGTAGATCTTGTAAAGCTTGGAACCAGTTGTTGAGAGCTATCGTGAATTCGTTGAGTTTGTTAGTATCTCAAAGAAAGGCTTTACTAAACATTTGTACTGCTGTTTTTCCAGTTTTCCTGTTCTTCTTTAGCTTCAGTTTAATCTTGGCAACCAGCAGATAGTTATATAAACCTAAGCCAGCTTATCTTTATGTTCTCATGACTTTCATGGGTCTTCCAAACGTTTTCGTGATGCAATATGATAGATCTCGTACTATTTAGTGTGATCTGCGGAGACACATGTAGCTTTGTGTATGCGTTTGTGGGGGAATATAGTGCCTCCTATAGCTATTTTGTTGAGTGCACATAAATTTGCAAATCTCTCGCTATTCTCGTTTTTCTCCTTCAGTCCATGCCGTCCCATGATATCTCCAAGTTCTCACACCTAGTTATCACAGTCAGATAAAAAATGGCAAAAGAAGGCGAAATAATGTCTTGGAAACGATAGTATGAAAAATCAGACCGTAAGTATATAATTCCTAAAGAAGAAGTGGGGAGGTATGTATAAAAGGATATTGGAATTCAGAAATGAACAAAAGTGAAAGAGTGAATGTATCTAGGCTTCTGCATGCGATTCCGAACCATGTTACCCAAGGCCTACAACCACTGGTTGCCGTTGTCATTTGAACCTACCTAGTAGTCTCCACCTTCCTACTTAACTTTGACCAAAAATTAATGTCTTCGTGGACTGATGCAACCTTTCAGTTTGGCTAGCCCTAGCCCTCTTCCAATCTACTGAACTAGCAAGCATTGCTCATCGAGGTAGACGATTGTTAAGTATACGTAATACGTTTCTCAATCATCTCAGTTGATTAAGACTCAATACATTTGTCACATACCCTATGCCTAACCTTAATATTGCTCACTTGGCCATTCCAAGAAACTGAGACAAAGTTTCAAAGACCTATAATTGGGGACCTTCAACCTACCCATTTCTATTACTTTCATAGACCACGTTTCACACCTATAAGGCAGGGCAGAGCGGACTGTTGCACAGTATGCAAGCCTGATAATGAAAAGACAAACCTCTTGTCTACGTAAAAAGTGGAGCCAGTTGTCAATTATCAACTATCAAACATGGGTATATAATATTGTATTCAGTATATTCGTTGTCTGAAATAAATTAGATTTAACTGTTAATGTTTTCGTGGGTTCATTTCTCTCCAGTTGTCTGTGTTTTATTGTTATGTCATGCTGATATAAATCGTGTTATTTACTTGAACTATCTAGCAAAAGAAGACTGGTGGATTAAAAATCACATCAATGGTTCCCTTAACAAAGATAAACGAGAAAATGACTCAAATGATACTACAGGAATATAGTATCCTTTTTAGTCAATATTCCCACTTTTTTACTTCTTTTGATTTCATTATATAACCGCTAATATATAAAATTGTATTGTTGAATAGTTTTAATTAGGAACAAGTTGTATTGTCCATCCCCTTCACATCCATGTGTTTTTCTGGTCGTTTGCAACGTGACACTATTTGGTCTGTAAAATAAATTCATTAACTGCGAGAACATCGCTCCTTTTTTTATGAAAAATTTGAATCACCTGAGTAACTCCCAAATAAATTAGAATTCTGTTTGGCAACATTGTCAGGTTAAGACACTCTTAGCTTTGTACTTCAATTTAGAATATCTATAATATCCATTAGCTCATCGTATATAGATCTGTCATGAGGACTTTACGTGATAAATAATTTGCCTTGAACAACTTCAAGTTCGCTCAGTTCAAGTGAGTCTGAAACAGAAAGGCTTATTGTGGTATTCGGACAATTAGAAAATAGGTAACGCAAACGCTCGAGTAGGTCTCCAATCATAATCAAAGTCATTAAAGAAAAGTAAGTTGTATATTAAATTTACGATCCCTGTAAATATCAAGTATGATCCGTTTTTTGTATTTCTGTTCACCTCAACTTCGTGTTACCCATTACGTAGAAATATTTAATGCGGAAGTCATCTTTCGAGAAGATTCTACACCGGATGAATTTATTGATGTAGTAGTTGGTGGTCGAGTATATCTGGCTTGTCTTTATGTATTTTGGTTTCTTTTATTTAAAAAATTCTGGATTTAGGTGTATAATAAAATTGATCAAATATCACTTCAAGAAGTTGACAGATTAGCAAGACAGCCTCATTCAGTTGTTGTTAGGTTAGTTTAAACCATTTTTAAGAATTGTTGCGTATGCATGAGTTAATACTTTGTATAATTTTTCTTCAGAGTTTCTCTGCTATCTTTTAATGGGGCAGCTTGATGTGTTTGAATAGTATATTTGAGCTCATACTGTTCCAGTTGGTTTGCGGAATTAACTGTAAAGTTACTGTTCATTTCACTTGGTGTTGTTTTACTTGTATTTTCCCACTGTTATTTAGGACTGCAACTGATCAGTCTCGTATTGGCGTATGTGCATCCTGTGCGGATTACCTAGATATAGCCTTAAGTCACATGCTTTTCAAGCAAAGATGGATAGTGCAGTCCTATTTAACAATGGGAATGTACGAGGAAAACAACACCAAGTGAATTTAAACTTCACCCCATTGCACAAGCAGGTGGCTATCAGGATTCGTTAGCTAAGTGGATAATGCGATGGCGTTTGAAGCAAACGGCACGGGGTCCGAGTCCCGGAGTGAACATCAACTCTGAGATGCAGGTACATCCACCTGACGAGTCCAAAATAGGACAAAACACGCATCCTGGATTCCACTGCTAGCACTATCCATATTTACTGTTCACTTGTTCTTCACCTTTATATATCAATAAAATGTCCTGTCTGTTATTGTTGATTAACAATCGTGAGTTTGCTGCTTGTTTGTTTGAACTGCATAAAATTTACTAAATACTTATATATGGTTCAAAACATATAACTAATAATAACCTAGGATATTTGAAGTTTCTCACCTAGCTCATGTGAGTTGTTAGTTTCTTAGTTTAGTCACTTTAAGAACTTGCTTCACCTCACATCTACCCCAACTGTCATCACATGCTAACATATATGTTGAGCATGTATGCTTCTAACCACTTCAGTTTTCACAATTTCAGTTTCATAGATAAAAATACTCATCCAGAAGGTCTGCTTGATGTTCTACCGCTCATTAAGCAGTACTTTGATTTTGCCTACCTCCGCTAAACATATATCATAAGAGTTTAACACTATATATAAATATATATATATATATATATAATAAAACAGTTGTGTTCATGCATGTGTACAATGTATTTCTGTTTCCAAATTCATTACTACATTACTTTCTTTGTTTACCCAGTTGCAATCTAAAGCTGAATTTGGATTACTTGCTCGAAAAACTTTGGGACTATTTAAATTTAATTCAAGTATTCACTAAAAAACGTGGACGTAAGAATTAATTGATTTCTGACTTCACTTAATTCAATTTATTAGAAAAACCAGATCTTGATGAAGGAATTATTTTACGAAACGGTTCAACAGTTGAGCACATTGTAAGTTTCATTGTATTTTTTCCTAATAAAACTGGTGAAGTTACTTTTCGAGTCTTTCGATATGCTCCAGGGATCGTCGTGATAAATGTTTGTTGAATGTTATATCTGATAAATCACCAAACTTTGACAGTTTTTTCGACTCATTGGAACTGTCTAGCATTGAAATGTCTAATTTTGGTTATAATGCAACGACTTACACTTAAAAGTATGACCAAATATTGTCGGTCCCAATCATCCACTACATTTTTCTGACAAATCAAACCAACTCTTTCAAATACCTACATTCCAATAAGTGTATAAGCTTATTAATTGTAGTGAATACCATAGGAGGTAACAGTTCATGAGTCTTGTTCACTTCATTTATTCTGTAAGTCTCATCATCCCTGAAGAATTGTATGCTAATGGAATACATATATAGATGAAATAACTTGCGTATCTTGTTAAGGGTTCCCATATCTGGAAGCTTGTATGGTGATCAGTTGTTCTCACTGTATTACTCAAAGTCTGCAAAACATAAACGTGAGGTTAGGACACATATGTAGGTTACAAGTGTTTAGTAATAGATGCCTTGAAAGTTTGTTGACATATGGTTGCATTAAAGAGTAAGTATAAGTATTGTCATAGTTAGACTCAGGACACAGTAGCAAATGGTAGTTTAATTGTTGAAACCATAATCTCTCATGTCATTAGATGACTGTTTCATTTTTTATACATATCCGGTCACTGCACAATTCTAACCGGTGTATAAATAATTTTAAAGGCCTGTTTATAAAGTCACTGACCTTTGGTTTCAGTTGAGTTAGGAAATGTAGATTTCTTAGTTAGGGTCCATCTAAAAGTCGTCATTTATATTTGAAGACGCTTACTGACGTATATTGAAATTAGGCACAATAATCTTTAACCTCTGAACTTACCACTGTGCGTAAATTTTCATTCTTCTATCTCAGTCTCTTTTGAACTAGATTTTTGATACTTAGTTTTCCAACGCACTTAATATAATTAGTTCCTCTCTTTTAGTTTTCATTTTATAAATTCCCTTTATCACTGTTTTGTTTTGAAGTGTAGTCACATGAACTAAACCACATTTCTCCCAAACCCTCCACACTCTAACGGGTTAATGGGACAAATAATAATATGCATTAAACCTTCAGTCATATTTTGTTGCCGAATGAGTTCAATTTTAATTGTTTTCATAAGCAGTTCATCATAAATTGTTCTTCATCCTACGATCTTTTTCTTCTCCTTTTCATCTAGTGCCATTCAATTCACAGATCTTTAGCATCACAGTGTAAATGTGCTCTTGTGTGGGTAAGAATAGTCGAAATTCTAGTGTTTACTTTGTTATTTATTGAGTAGATAACATCACATATTTTATTTGTCATAAAAAACCAATTCTTTATAGGTCATTTGTTCTCAATGGTATATAATAGCCGAAATTCAAGAAGCTTAAATTGTCTTTAAGTGTTGGAAAATGTTTGTAGCTCAACCTGTAAAAATCTGTTTCTGTCAAATAAAATAACATGAACTCTCCTGAAGAGTTTCACTCCAAACACGTAAAACCGATGATAATGAAAACAAAATACATGAATAAAATAATTATCCAAAATCTAAGGAAAGACTTAATGCATCACTATGCGTGGTAATTTGTTGACTACATCTAGAGACTAAATGTAGATTTAACTCTTCGACGAACTGGACAAATTTGTAAGCAAAGAAAACTAAAGTCAATATGAAAAAGGCTTATATAAAAAAGTACATCACTCCGTTAAACTAATTTTTCCCTCTTTTTTTTTTAAGGGGACAAGTGTTAAATTCAGTCCACAACATGTTGGACTGAATCACGTCTTACATCATCACGATGTTGTGCAAATTGTAAAGAAATAATGATTCAGTGGATTAATATTTCAGTATGTTATTGCAAATTGAATTCTCCATGTCTTTCTTTATTGATGAATATATTGAATTTTTGGATGCTATGTAGTTTTACTGTTATCATAAGAGGGGGACACTTTGGATAGACTACATTGATTTATTTCTGTATTGAATAAATCTTACTAGTTACATTGTAGTTCATAAATTCGAATATCCCTCTGTTTATAATCGTTTAAGCTGTGCACAACCTATAAGTTGTAAGTTGCATTGTTTTTTCCTTCAATGTCTATACATAAAAAGAAAACTAATCCATAACTTTAAATCAAGCTAGATTATAAGGACTAATACTCTAACCTTAAATAATACTCGGTAAACTACCTTTTACAGAACATTTATTCACATATATTTTGCTTCTAAAATAGGTCTAAATTCTGTTATTCTCAACATGTTATTTAGTGATACTTCTTTGATTATTTATTTGAAAGTTGTCTAGCTGACATCACTATAATATATCACGTATTCCAGTTGGTGTGTATTTGGTGTTTGTTAGGTTACTCAGTTTGTATGGCATAAGCTACCAAATTAATGTATAAATTCAACGGCAACTTACTATACTTGCAATAACTCGAATCATCAAATGAGACTTGATTTATCCTTCACATCTGGTCAACCTCTCGATCTTAATCGCTGTGGTTATTAGCCGAATTAGCAGCAGTTTTTCGGAAACTGCAAATATAAACCATGAGAAAAAAACAGGTGTGTCTTGCTTTCAGTGGAATGATATTTCATAGTATCTGATCGGTTTATTCTTCCTATGAGTGGTGAGTCACAGTCCAACTGATGTTGTTTTTGCATAATTTGAAGCACATATATCTAGTGTTTAACTTAGTTTTAGATTACAAAATGATGATGATTAATCAAGTCATAGTACTGAGTTCAAATCAATTTCTCCATATTCCCCTATGCGTTTATATTTAGTTCAAACTCTGTATGATGGCCTGTTTTTATAGGCCTAGTTAAGTACTTTCATGTTCGTTCGTAGAAAACTAATTCTATTTGGCGACGTACTACTTTAGTGTCAACGAGTAAATTCCACTCTCACACTAAAGATATTTCTAGCTGACCATAGGTAGTTGACTTGATAGAGTATTGTGATTTTTTGTTATAAACTGGCGTGGCATACTAGTTTAATCTAAAACTGTTCGAATTCGGCCGTATAGGAATTTTTGTTTGTCTAATATTATATATGGGATTATATAGTATTTACCGCTGTCATGTTCATTACAACTTACCAGTTACATAAACTTAGTCTCAATGCTCGAATATCAACCTGTTAGTCTACTAACAGACTATTAATTGTGTGATACGTCAAAAGGATTGTCACTTTCGTGAAGTTACTGGCATTGTTCAGTCTTGCGTTTTGTTGCCAACCTATTTGTGGCGACCCAATGAATTATCTGATAAATTTTGAACCATTAGCTAGGTTGACTACGAAACCATTACGTCAAGCCGCCAAGTATCACTGCCCGGACTGAATAACTCCTGGGTCACGCTACTATTGTCCATTACTTTGATAAAATATCACATCTTGATATTAATAAAAAGATTAAAGTCCAGATAGCGGCTGGTCGATTGAAGTAGTCTGAGGAAGCTCGACAGATGTTTTTAGTATGGTGGTTAAGATCCGACTAGATAATAGGGATACAAATACTAAACCTACAAATCCACTAAAGTATACACGAGTGATCAAACTGGTTATGAGTCAACGGACTTTCGCCTTTACGACCAAACAGACAGGTTTATGGTAACTTAATACAACTAATGTGTGTAGGTTCTTGTTATAATGGTTGGTTTTCCAACGTTTACATGTATGGGACGTTAATTTACCTTAAACGAATATCTACACTAGATCCCCTCCCAGTGTCTATTCTACAGGATTTCAACAAAACTCAGATCAAGAACATGGGATTAACCTGACCACAACGTAAATATATTTCCACAACAAAACCCGACACGATCCAACAACAATGAACAATCATTAATAATTGTTATAAGGATAGGAGAATATATAACTCACCTGACACCTGTCAAACTATCTACATGTCTGACCAAGCAGACAGTCAACCATCCTCGCCCACACATCACCTCCCCCGCGAAGTTTGTTCGTATGACTTCACTTCAGGGTCTATTTCAGAAAATCTCGTTCCCTTGATGATCTTCAGCTGGCTTCTGATTTCAACTCATTTCACCTTGTGGTGGTAGTGGGATATTAAGTGTATCACGTAATACTTCCATTGGTAAAAGTTTGGGTTTAGATGACTCAAACATTTCTTCCATTTCGCAGTTGATTGATGTGTCTGATAATTAGTGTATTTTCGACCATTACTTCATGTAATACCGTCCCACGTCTTTTTATAACATATCCAAATATCCATTTTGACTTGTCAGATCGGAAATCACGTGCACAGACTAAGTCACTTGCTTTCAATCCTCGAGTCTTCCGGCATTTCCCTTTCTTATTTTTTTGCAATCCACTTATTTTGCCTTTCGGTTTCAAAACATCGAAAACTGTCCTAATTGGTCGGCCAAATATTATTTCGGATGGCGAATTAATCACATTACTGACAGTGCTCAACGCCGTTCCCATAAACCAAATTTATCTATCCAACCAATACCTAATAAGTTGGTGTGACAATTCCGAGATACCTAGTACTTTCCGGTCATAGTCTTGTCACCCAACGAGAGAGGTAACTGCATTTCTACGAGAAGAGTAATGTTGGTTTATGTCGCACTCGTAGCGTTATGTAGGTTAATATTGAGGTCGACCAAGTTTTATCCAAGTCTCACTAGAATTCAACGTTATGTCAGATGTCGTATCAATTTTCAGCTTAACCGGTTTACCATTGGGAAAGATAGTTTCGTACTTCCTTTTAGGTGAAAATTGAACGCTTTGTGGCCAGAACAACATCTGAATTGTGTGGTATCTCTGTAGTGACTTACTTTTGTCAACAGAACGCGATTGGTGTAATGGAAACAATTATTATTATAACCAATTGTACCAGTGATTGTTTAACTGTACCAAAGACATCCTTTCTTCCGTTGACTGTGACCTTGTTCGAATTCGGTTACGCTCAGTTGCCCCACTTGTAATCTGACACGATCTCGGTATTCTTTCGATAATACTAGGTTGCCAGCAAATACATCTCGACTACAGCCATCAACTGCCTTCTGATATTTGACCTACGGGAGATCTTATCAGTTAACTGGCACGTAGTCTTCTTGTAGTGGTGATCATAGTCAACCGCGACTCGACGCCATACTACATCTCTTTTGACCTCTGCGTCTTATTTCCTTTACGAAACACTTGCTGACGGTCGGCAGTCTTTTGTCTACTTTTACAACATACTTGAGCATGACCATATTTGCCACATCAGAAGAAAACTTTTAAAAAATAGCAGACATTACCAGAATGACGCTTACCGCGTCTACAACAACACGTTTTGGGATTCATTTGAAACTCTTTAAGAGTACGGATCCCTATTTCCGTTAAAGGGTTTCCGAAAATATTAACTTCCACGTGTTCAGTGTTCCTTTTTACTAGACTTGTGTCACGCTTCAAACCAACCATTCTTCAGGCACTGATTGCAGACTGATACTAGGATCTTGTTCGATTCTCACCAAAATCCGTGTTCTGATATCTGCATCTACTGCAGACTGTAACTCATAGACAAAGATAAGGTATTTAAACTGATCTGAGGACATTTCCTGTAAATAAAATCGGTCATATTCCCTATCCATGATGCTTGCACACGTCACATAGTCGTCCTGTGTTTATTTGCGAGCTCGAGACATTGGTGTCTAGTGTGAAAAACTGATAATCGTTCACCTAATATACGTGTGAAGCACTCTCCCGTTTCTCTGAAGGTTATGTCTGCTGTCTTCTTTAGGAGAATAAAATTGCAGAACTTTTCATGTTCAGATACTCCGAGCTTCCTTAATAATAATCTCAGTCTCGAACCTTCGTCCCACTCTCTTTACAACCAATAATAAAAAAATCCTCGCGGCGCTTAAACCATGCATCAAAAGTAATCTCACATTTCGGATCAAATCTAAATTTATTTATTGAATTCGCAATAGAATCCGGAGTCATAGTGGAATTAGATACATTGTCTCTTGGGGATATTTCAAAAATTGATGTCTTCGTGGACTGATGCAACCTTTCAGTTTGGCTAGCCCTAGCCCTCTTCCAATCTACTGAACTAGCAAGCATTGCTCATCGAGGTAGACGATTGTTAAGTATACGTAATACGTTTCTCAATCATCTCAGTTGATAAAGACTCAATACATTTGTCACATACCCTATGCCTAACCTTAATATTGCTCACTTGGCCATTCCAAGAAACTGAGACAAAGTTTCAAAGACCTATAATTGGGGACCTTCAGCCTACCCATTTCTATTACTTTCATAGACCACGTTTCACACCTATAAGGCAGGGCAGAGCGGACTGTTGCACAGTATGCAAGCCTGATAATGAAAAGACAAACCTCTTGTCTACGTAAAAAGTGGAGCCAGTTGTCAATTATCAACTATCAAACATGGGTATATAATATTGTATTCAGTATATTCGTTGTCTGAAATAAATTAGATTTAACTGTTAATGTTTTCGTGGGTTCATTTCTCTCCAGTTGTCTGTGTTTTATTGTTATGTCATGCTGATATAAATCGTGTTATTTACTTGAACTATCTAGCAAAAGAAGACTGGTGGATTAAAAATCACATCAATGGTTCCCTTAACAAAGATAAACGAGAAAATGACTCAAATGATACTACAGGAATATAGTATCCTTTTTAGTCAATATTCCCACTTTTTTACTTCTTTTGATTTCATTATATAACCGCTAATATATAAAATTGTATTGTTGAATAGTTTTAATTAGGAACAAGTTGTATTGTCCATCCCCTTCACATCCATGTGTTTTTCTGGTCGTTTGCAACGTGACACTATTTGGTCTGTAAAATAAATTCATTAACTGCGAGAACATCGCTCCTTTTTTTATGAAAAATTTGAATCACCTGAGTAACTCCCAAATAAATTAGAATTCTGTTTGGCAACATTGTCAGGTTAAGACACTCTTAGCTTTGTACTTCAATTTAGAATATCTATAATATCCATTAGCTCATCGTATATAGATCTGTCATGAGGACTTTACGTGATAAATAATTTGCCTTGAACAAC